GGCCTCGATGCCCAGCAGGCCTGAAACATGCTCTTGACTTCTGGGTTGTGGGTCCGCCTAACCTCATAATGTCTCATATACTTGTCGAAGGCTAGCTTGCAGCACTACTTCAAGGGAAAGCAAACAGCATCTCAGCTCCCTCGGAGCCTTCACCGGCTGTCCTGGATTGCAGCCTCAGAACGCCCACGCCCTCCCCGCGGCTGTAGCCGTCGGCCGAAGCATCGAAGGTGAAGCAGCGGCCGCGCTTAGATAGCATCTGAGCTTGGCAACAGCCGATAAATGGCAGGGTGCTCGTCATAACGTGCGTGGCACCCATCAGTGCAGGGCCGGGCAGGCTCAGGGCCACTGCCAGCGCTACAAGGCTGGATGAACAAGCGGTGTCAATGGTCATGCTTGGTCCTCTCAAACAGAAATGGAAGCTAATGCGATTACTCGTAATGGCAGGCGACACGCCCGTGCCAAGAAAAGGACTGGAAGATTGGGCTTCTGATGCCCAGTCGTGATTCGCTTGCCCAATGACAACGGCAGCCTCTGAGTCATTAAGCAGATCGCAGCCCGCTGCCCTCGCCGCCTGCAAAAGCAGCCGCTGTTGCGGGTCCATCATGCTGGCTTCAGGAAGCTTGATTCCAAAGTGCTCACCATCGAAGAGTTCGACCCCGGCCACGCATGCAGCATGCATTGTGTAAGACATGCCCTGCGAGCCCTCAGAGTCAAAGCAAGCATCGAGATCCATGCGGGCATAAGGCATTCGCACCATGCAGTCCTCGCCCTCGAAGAAGCTGGGGCAGCTGGGTAACACGCATCTCGCAGATGACACGGTCACAGATGATGCTGCCCTGCCTGGCTCTGGCAGTGCCTCCATCCGCATCGCTGTCGTTTCGGCCAGCTCACGCACCATAGAATTCACGGTTGGGTGGTCAAAGGCCCAGGTGGCCGGGAGCCGTCGACCAAGTTGCGAGGAAATCTGGTTTGCGAGATCTACCGCCAGAAGAGAATCCAGCCCCGCAGCCATCAGTGGCTGGTCGGCCTCTGGCGTCTGTTCCAGTAGCTCGCTGAGGAGCCTCTGGAGAAGTGATCTCGCCTTACACAAGGAAGCATGAGAGAGGGTTTCATTGGTGGCTAGTGAATTCCATTCAAAGTCAAAGCTCACTCGCCGAGGGCCTGACTTCTGGCTGCTGGGGTTCCGTTGTCGCCACGATTCGTCGTGACTGGACACGCAAGCGGGATGTGAGAGCAGCGTGGCCCGGCCACTGGAACTGATCCCAGCTGACTTGGACTGCACACAGCTGGCCCTGCACATTACGAGTCAAAAGTTGCTCCAAGATCGCGATGCCCTGGTAGGTCTTGAAAGCACCGAAGCCGTGCTGCTGCGCCCGGCGCAGGGCCTGCGGCCTAGCAGCCATGCCTGCCTCAGACCCACGCAAAACACGTGCAAGCCAAGAACTGACGGACAGAGTATTCACAGAATGCAGCCACCACAGCGTACCACAACAGCCCTCGGCACTCACCGAGCCTCCGCCCATGGGCCCCACTGGATCGTGAGCACACGTGGAGCACGATCGGGAGCTGCCTGGCCCAACCCATCGAGGCAGCCGTTGGCGGCACTGTAGGCAACTTGCCCGGCACTCCCCAAGACAGAGCTCATGGAGCTAAAATTCACAATCCAATCCTCGCACTCGAGCTGCGGCAGGAGCAAAGCGGGGACGATCTTGCAGGCCATGCAGGAATGGAGATCTTCTGGTGTCTGTTCTGCCAGCAGCTTGTCGGCGAGCACTCCCGCGGCGTGGATGATGCCATGTACGGGGCCCCCTGTCCGTATCTGGTCTATGGCCTCTTGCAAAGCCGAGGGCAAGGAGACGTCGCATTCCAGCCACTCGGCCGGGCAAGCTCCATCACATATGGCCGGGCGCCTGCGGGAAAGAAGTATCAAGGAGCCGGCACCTTGGTTCAGGAGCCACTGTGCACAGGCCGTTCCCAGTCCACCATTGCCACCAGTGATCACGTAGCGGCCGCCGATGCGAACGCCGATCGCGGCGTCCTGCACCAACTCGGCCCGCCACCTTTCCAGCCGAGGTACTTCCACTGCCCCTGCCACCACGCGGCAGATGGGCTCTTCAGAAGCTGGCGGCAAGCTCACCACGGAGAGGGCAGTCTCCACCTCCCGCCAGCCACTGGCCTCCACCAGCACGACCTGATCGTCAAAGGCAAAGGCGTACGCAACCCAAGACGATACTAGGTGGTCTTCCTTTTTCTCTAGAGTTTGAACCACTTTGAAAAAACTTACAAACCCAGCCGCCAGGTGCCTGCACATGAAGCTCCTGCTCACACTGGGCACTGCGCAGCATGCTGGCTGCAGCGCTGAAGCAAGCCTCGGCAAACCGGCCGCTGCCAGCAACAATCACCTGCCACGGCACACCTTCGCGGGCTGCCTGCTGCAATGTGCCCAACACTTCTGCGCAGCAAAGCTCCAGGCGTTGGATTTGCGGCGCGGCAGGCAGCTCTCGCCAACATCGGAAGGCAAGAAAGTTCATCCCGCCCTCCTCCGTCCTCAGCGTGTCCTCGTCAGAAGCCTGCGTCTCCAAACCCTGAAATCTGCCTGCGGTGGTCGAAGCGAGCCCTTGTTTCAGCCAAGATATCTTGTACAAGTCCCCGAACATCTCCGCATCGACAGGAGCCGCACTGACATGAGCCACGCTGCGGGCAAGAAGCCCCGTGCACACTGCAACGACCTCTCCGCTCTCAGCTGCAAGCGCGACATCTCCTCGAATCATGCCTACCTCGATGAACGTGATGTTTGCATAGGC